ACATTTAAATGTGAAAGTGTCCATCTATTCCACCTGTTTTAGTTCCAAGCTGGGGACTGCTTCTTCAAGCTCCATTGTATCCAGATTCCATTGCCGCTAGCTGCTGTTTTGACACCCATCACTCTATCTTCCTCCCAGTCCTCCTACATTAAATTCAGACTTCTCACCTTCACAGCCCTGCAGGGCTCTGCCTGATCTCCTCACTGCCTTACTCCCTATACTCCCTTTATCTCTCTATCATATCTTCCTTCTCTCATGTCCCAACCCTCTACTTGGAGTAACCCCCGACACCTTCTCCAACCCACTGTCTTCCACAATATTCATCCTCTGCACTTTCCCCACCTTTCTCTAACTGCTTCCCCCATGTCCTCCTCCCTCACATATCTGCAGCTTTAGCATGCTGACCCCTATGTCTGGGACAAGCTCCTCTCTTCTGTTCACTGGACAAGCTTTCCATTCCTTCAAATCCCTCTGTAAAACTGTTTCACCCTGGCTTGTGCCACTAATCTCCAGGAGTTATCTAATCTCACTTTCACAACCTTGATTATATTTTAAATTGCAGTGGGTATAATAAAAGTGAACTCTACAGTGAAATAACAAAAGTGAAGTCCCAGTGCTATATCTTGTAACTTCCCCTTCAGAAGTTTTCTAAATGATCTCTTCACTAAGATCTAGAGACATTAGTGGCTAAATATGTAAGTGTAACCCATGCTTACAGTGTGGCTTTTTGTCCTTCTCTAGCGGTTGACCCATACAGAGGTCGAGTCTATATAGCCTTTAAGGTAACAATGCTGTGTCTTTTAGCTCAGACAGACCATGTGTTCAGATCAAATGTTCCAGATTCAATTCCCACAAACAACAACAACCCACCCAGAGGCTTTTTAGATACAAACTGAACAAATTAAGAGAGCAGGTCATGATGTGTCACATACACTGGATGTTCCATTCCTCCCAACTGGCAAGGTAGACGTGATCTCACACAAAATATGATCAATGACATAGTAGGTGAAACTACAAATATAAGAAAATCCTGTTAGTAATGCAGAACAATGAAAATTGTCTCCAGAAAATAAAAATGTCACATGCCAATAGATGACACTGTTGAGCAGGTTACGTGCAGTCACAGATGCAGCCAAGTCTATCCTGTGTACTGGTACAGCAGTGATCCTGGGCCACAGTAGCATTTTTTAAATGGATTATGTCAGTGTGTTTTTATTTCACCTTGACTAAAAATTAACCTAAGACAGTTCATAAAGTCAAGAAATAAAGCCTTCTTCCAGGAGACATACAAGACATTGCATATCAGCTGCCTCCCAGGTAACCTGGATGGTGGCCTGAAAGAACTGTCCTCTCTAGGGGCTAGCAGATTCTTCAACTTCCCTAATAAACTTTATTTTGGGCATCTGCTGAAGGGAAGAGAGAGATTGGTAATGTGACAGCACTGAAACTGCAGGCTGTATGAATAATATTTATATTAAATAAAAGGTTTCAGATGGCTAACTTGTTACAGCAGCTGAAACTCCTGGTTGGTCTTTTATTAGTAGGTGCTCCAGTCAAGACCAAATAGCCCCATATCTTCTCTTGCCCTTCTCCTCATTCTAATTTTACAACCCACCTTTGGCTCTAGGCATGAGGTTATTTCTAAAGGGTTAAACAGTCACAGAGTACCTGCAAAATCATCTGCCACTAGGAAAGTGCATTTTCTTCAATCCAGGGTACATGTTTACTGCTAAACGATTCTACTCTATACTAAACTACTGTAGCCATTTATTTCAAAACTGGCCCCAATGTTAGCACTTTAATGCAACATAATATGCCAGACTAATATGGTGACTCAACAATCAAAACTATGCATCATCAGCCTACACAGCTTTTACTTTTGGTTCAAGGCCTGGATTTGCTGGAAGAATATTGTTTCTTTTCTTTTTTTCTTCCTTTTTGGCCAGTATAGAGTGCCTAAACTCACTTGCCAGTTGTCAGCCCAGCTTGTTTCTGAGGAAAGGAAGAATTCATGTGTAAAGCACCTAGGGTCTTAAAAACATAGAAACATGTGCTGGAGGATCATTGTGCCTGGTTGGCTGACTTCAGCAATGAGAGAGAAAGAGAGAGAGGAGCTGCTCAACTGACTGGAACTAAATAGGGAAGAAATTTGAATGTTCCTTTTATCTTCCACATATTCTTAAAATAATATTTAGGCAATTCAGTCTTTGATAATCTCATTGTACCTACATTTCTGCTGGGAAGCTTCTACTGCGGCACTACATTCATTTGGTTTAAGGACGCTTACGGACCTTCCAATAGCAACATGCTGATACATACAGTATACAGAACAGAGAGCTTTTATAATCCCTTAAACAGTACATGGAAAACAGCATTAACTACGAAATTCTCCATATTTCTGCAATGCAAAAAATAATATCTCCAAGTCCAGCCATGAACTGGGATAAAATGGGAACCTCGTACAAGTGAGATATTTCATATTTTCATTTAAATAGTTGTTTTAATTGTACATTTTTCTATTCCACTTTCCCACACACTCCAAGCTGCTGCTTAAGTCAGTTCCTAGATAAACTATCTTGTCATGAAAATTGGCAATACTAAATTGTATCTGCTTCCTCTGTGCCATAAGGATAATTAATACTGTTTCAGTAACTTTAACATCCATCCTATAGAGTATCAAGCTTACAATACAGAAGAAAATGCCTATGGAACATTACATTTAGGAAATTAGAAATCCAGTCCATGAAAGGTTAGTTTCAGGGAACCGTGTAGGAATCTAAATTGAGAAACAGTTGGTCAAGAAGTAAACAGATAATTAAAATGAAGCATTCTTCCTAAGTAACTTTGCTAATCTACACACTTCAAGAATAACTTTTAAATTAGTTTGTTGGCTACAAATGATTTTTACTGCTTAACAATCCAACAAAAACAAAACAACAAACAGAAAACATTGGCCTCATGCACACAAACACAGAGATCATCCAAACCCAAAGAGAAGGGCACCCTTCTCTCTATTGATTTTGCTATGGTTAGGCTGTATCGTTACGGTCCAATCATCTGAAGTGATGGCGACCCTTCAATTCCCACTGTTGTCCTGATGAGTTGAGGATAATTTGCACCCTACCGGATTGGGCTAGGGCATCTTGTGTGTCCTCCATCCTCCCAGAATATGAAAGTTTTTCATTTCCAGTTTGTATGTTATCCACCCCCTAACTTTCTCTCCATCTGAAGTCTCTTTTACCTTAGTTCCCTTTTCAAAAGAAAAGCGTCCTGGAGATTCCCATAGGATTGTGTTTAAAATCCACCCCCTGAGACAATGTAAATGTAAAAGCAATCACAATCCATATGCCTCATGTGAAGATGAGGAGGGTCCAAGAGAATCATAGTGGGAGGAAAAAAATGGTAAATTATACTGTGTCCGAAGACAGATTTGCCTGTCATATTTCTATACAGTAACATTGTTGCGGGATGGAATATCACTTGCAGAAAACAAGGGGAAAACACAGCTTTAACCAGCTTTCCTTGTTTAATCCCTCTGTCAAGCTGGTATACGAGAACAGCCACAAATACAGCCAGAGACTGACTGACAGGCAAGATGTAATAATATGAGATTATTCAATTACTCTGTGGCAGAGGCCTTTTCATTAAGTGTTTAGTTTTACAATGCAATACTCATTCAAAAAAAAGCCTCATTACATTTCTTCATACGTAATGGAGCAAATAGAAAGACCACATCAAATAGGATGTGTCTTCGGCGGTCTTATGCATTGTAACATACATTATATATACATACATATACACTTCAACACCCCTCTATCTCTGCCTATTCAGTATTGCCACATTTATACCTGTGCCTTTCTAGAATAGCTAACCTGCTGTAGATAATTCCATCAAATAGATACCACGTCTTTCAATATTAGTCATTCATATTCATATAATTGAGAAGGAATAAGTCCCTAGCAATTCCACTTGGGGAACCAGGCATCTCAAAAATGTATTTACAAATGGATCTCTCACCAGTTTGGGAAAGCTAAGTACTGCAATGAAGCAATAAAACATCTTCAAGTGCAGGATCCCTGATGCTATTGTGATACAATAGTATTTTACTTTCATTAAATAATTGGAAGATGGGAATGGCTACAACAGTCTCAGCATTCCTGAAGAAAAGCACCTGTGGGGGGATCTAGGTTCAGACCTTGAATATCTCAAATGCCAAGTGGTTTAATAGATCCTAGGAAACGTTACCCTACAATAAAACATGCTGGACAAGGCAGTTACTTAGAACACCTGTATGCTTGATGCCACCTTAAACCTCCCTCTTGTGTCCCCCCTCCCATCCAAATAAATGAGAGGCAATAAGAAACCATTTGTGATTGGCACTTTAGTCTGATTTGGAAGGATTAGAGATATGGCCCCAAATATTTCACAAATGCTGTAGCCCTAAAACAGTGCAAGATGAATTCAATAGGTTAATGAGAAGCAATAGCAGAGAAACTCCACGTAACAGAGTGGCCCACAAATCCTCAACAATTTCCATTCTGTCATCTGCTCCAGCTAACAGCAGCAGAAGCAGCTTTCTGTACTCGCATATTCATTGCTTCAGAGCAGACTGAAATGCATAGAGGAAAAAAAAACATGATTTGTGAAAATACAAAGACTCCCATTGAAGTTATTGCGTGGGCTTTTTGTGCGTGTGTGAAAGAGAATTCCTTCTGAGACCAGAAAAAGCTTTCAAATGCTATTTTACCAACATTTCTCAACACTCTGGATCATTATTTTACAGGTACTTTAGCTCTGCAGATACTAGGTAAATCAAAAAGGAAATCAAAGAGAGATGGGGGGGGGTTGCAAATGACAAGCACAGAGTCCACAACACACCTACATTGTGTCACCATGCACTATAGGTGCACCATACTCATCTTTTAGCTTCTTTCGAGATGAAACAAATCAAGCATAAACAACATAAGAAGGCAGGAGGGCAGGCAAGCCCCTGGACTTACCTTTTGGATGGTCCCTCCTAAAACTTCTCCAAAGGAAATTAAAAATTCCTCCAGATGGACTTGGATTCTTCTTTTTCTGTTTATTTTTTTCAAGTCACATAGGAGCAAAATGATTAGTTTTCAAAGGTTCCATTTACTGATCTTCCATCCCCAGCAAAATGTGTCCAAAAGACTATGTCAAAAGTGAGCCCAGAACTCAAAGACAATTGGAAAAGGGTGTTTGGTGGGGGGAGGTGGCTGAGGGACCAGACTGTGAAATTGAGTGCCCTGGGTATATTAATCTCCACTGTACACTATACCTGGCTTCTTGCTCACCAAAAACTGTAGTGCAAACTGTCAGTAGTAGCGTCCAATAGCTGCTGTGTGTGCTGCAGATGGTATGTCTCACTGTTACCTTCTCAGATGGGTAGAGGATTCAAAGAACAGCAAAACCCGGGGGTCCCCTCCAAACCAGGTGGATTGCCAGCCACTCACTCACTCAGTCCAATTAATCAAGACAAGAATGGCTCCGTCACCAGAGGTATCTCCTTCCAGAGTGCACAGGATTATGGCAAGGTTATTAATCTTGCTTTGCTGCATCCCCCCACCCCCTACATTCAGCAGCCTGCATTGAGATGATTGCCAGCTCTGTCTCTGTCCCTGTTCTACTGCATTTTGCTCAGCCCTCTGTTGCTGCAAGTGAAACACAGAGGAGGGAGGAATACTAATAAGGTGGTTAGCTACAGTTTCTTCAAGGCATTCTACGTACTCTGTGTGTGTGGTGTGTATATGTGTGTGTATTTTCTGTGGGGGAAGTCCTAGATTTAGTTGCAGGTTGAATAGGAAACTGTTTCCACACTGTTACAGAAGCTTGAATTAATCTGGATTATTACTTTCAAGGAATACCAGAGCCAGAGATCTTATTTTATTTAGGATAAAAGGAGGGTGCCAAATGCTTTAGAAGCCTAGGGCCATGGCCTGGCAGTTGTGAGAGAAACAACGTTCAGAGAGAGATGCATTAGGTTAGTAAAAAGGCTCAAAGGGACCTAGGCAATATTTTAAATCCACCGCTACACTACATATAAATGATTTTTAAAAGCAGCCCCTTCCTATCAATCTTGAGATAGGAAACAAATATCCAAAGATGAGTGATTATTGGTATAAAGAGACAGATTCTTGATGAGGTGAAAAAACATTAGTGAGTCAAGCAGGGTTTGAATTGATAGACATAAGACATTATGGTTCAGGGGTGCTTGATAATTCTCTGTTTCTCAGTGAAATCTATTCCTCTACAGAAATATTTCAGTGATGTGAAATGAGTTTGAAGTTATCAGCACAGTGTTCTGCAATAATATGATGCCATGCAGCCAACAGAATGGAATTGTAGTAAATTGGTTAAGTAGTGGCCCTTGGTCGGTGCATTAGCCTTTGAGCATCCGGGGTGTACAAATCCTAGCTGCGGAGCACCCTTCACATTGTGGTTCGCTCTCTTGGAAGACTCTGCTCAGCCAGTGATGTTTTACTAGGTTCTTCTGTTTAGGTTCAGCATTCCAGCAATGTCGTGCGGGTAATCTTTTATTATTTAAAACCCGGTCTTTTCCAGCAAATTACACTATATATTACTCAATTCAGGAATCAGAGGAAGGGAAACCTACAAACAAAGACAAAAAATATTTTCAAGAGATGTGTATATTTTTTAATGGTATGACTGTGTTTAGACTGGATGGTTTAGAGGAGTGGTAATGAGATATTGAGCCTTCCAGATAAGGGTTTGAATCCAACTCTGGCCAGCAGTAAGTGCTATCAATACCAGACAGAGATAGCTGGTCAATGATATATGTGAAATGAGTTTTGTGGTCTCAGCATACACATGCCCACATCACAAATATAACCTTCATAATTAGCTTTAGTCAAACCCCTTGTTGGTAGCATTGGGTCAAGGACTGAAAAATAAATGGTGACTGAATGGACACAGAGATGGAATTATCTTCCCACAGTTTTAACTGGTCCTTCCTGGACAGGGTTCAGACCTTTTTGGTTGGGCAGCATGGGAAACTGCCTCTGGCACTGCTATTATGCTCGGAATAGAGGACTGCCATATTCAGGGCAATCAATTCCGCACCTATCAGAAACACTATATTCCCACTGATTATATGGAAGTACTGAATAAAGATGCACTGTTGGTAAGTGAACCCTACAACCATGAAACTCTGGACTGTGGGCTCACCAGATCATTCAACTTAAACGGGGCTGGATCTGCTTTGCATTTGGATGGGAAAACAGAAGATGCTACAGGGAACTGATACAGAAGATTGAAAAATAGCCTTCTACCACTGACCAACCAGCCCTAATTTAGCTCACACTCCAATTTTAACATAAATTATTTATATCAAAAAACCTTGGAACAAGACGTGCTAAGCATAACTGTTCCAACTCTCTTTGCTTTTATGTTTCAATTCCTTCCCCTGCACACCACCCACAATTACCACCATCACTGTCTGTAAACCCCTTAAGGAAGAAGCTAATTTTCTTAAGCCACAAACATCAATAACACTATCTAAACAATGGGAACAGCAGATGCTCTTCTTTCCAAATAAGGACCAAACCAATACTCCACTATGGTATTAGTAGGCTCAATGATTCTCAAGAAGCTAGGTTTGCCACTTGTGGTCATTAAATATCCCATAGAACTTTTTGTAAGGAAGCACCAGTGTCCTTGTCAAGTTCCAATGTAGACAATCACAATCTGCCACACTAAACTTATCTGTCTAGTTACAGGTGACTAAAACATTCTATACTTCCTGTCCTAAGCGTTGTTGTGGTGTGTGTTGTCAAACTGTAACCACCAAGATGATTTGAGGAATTCACACCTTATACTTAAAAGTTCTGGGATCCTCCTGAATAAGAGGTTCTATGTGAAAGAGACTTTCCATTATAATTTATTATTTCTGCCTCAAATTAACTGCCTATGAAGGAATGGACTTTAATAAAGGATGGCTTAGAATAAAATGATTGTTAGCAGCAATTCTCAAACCATAGCCACTTGGCCACCAGTCTCATTCAGTCTCTGGAGAGGTCCATATTATAAGAATAGATGTCTCTGAAGATAAGATAAGAAGCAACAGACTTAAATTGCACCAAGGGCAGTTTAGGTTGGACATTAGGAAAAACTTCCTGTCAGGTTGGTTAAGCACTGGAATAAATTGCCTGTGGTGGTTGTGGAATCTCTGCCATTGGAGATTTTTAAGAACAGGTTAGACAAACACCTATTAGGGATGGTCTAAATAATACTTAGTCCTACCTCAAATGCAGGGGACTGGACTAGAACACCTCTCTAGGTCCCTTCCAGTCCTATGATTCTATGTCTATTTTGCCCCCTGCCACATATGATCACCCCATGATAATGTGCAATTAGGACAAAATATCTTCTGGAGTCTCAAGTTACTTTTACAGGATTCTTATGCAACCAAAACAACCACTAAGATCCCATCAGAGCCTCTGATCACAATCAGTTTAGACAACTAAATGACAAAAACTAGAGCCATCTACAAAAAATACAAACCAGACAGATGTGCTGTCTCTAGAGCTCCTTCTCTTAATTTCCAGCCTACAACGCCTTCCTCTCCCTGAATATAGCTGATCTTCCTGTTAGGTTCTAACTCTTACCTAAGCTCATCTGGACCAGTCACTTATCAACAGGGAGTGTCCCTCTGAAAACACCTGCTGGGATTTAGCTACATGCCACTCTGGCTTGGCAGGGCCCTCACTAGGAATATCACTGAGTCAGGAAGCATCATGGCTGCATGGCTTCAACACAAGTACTGAAATATCAATATATCTTATCACTCTGTAAATGAGACTAAATAATGGTATGAAAAAGAAAAGAAAAGTGCAGCCTCACAGAGAGTTCTTCACTGTGCCACCCGATGAGTGCATCTTGGTACTGCACTAAACATTAAACACCCCCAAAATATGGCCATCTACACTTCTTAATGGCTCTGTGAACGCCTGTGAGTATTTTTTTTTTCATTTTCTTTTGGAATACTAAATATTATTCATCTGTAAATGTTAAACCCAGAAGGGTCCTTCTGATAATAGTCTGACTTCCTGCATAGCACAGGTTATAGAATTTCACTCAGTAATTCCTACATCAAGTCCATCATTTCTGGTTGATTATGTTTTGTATTCCAGCATGCCTTTGCTCTGGTTTTGATTTGTGCTCTTTTGCTGTTATTATTTAAGGCTGGGGTATTTAAAGGGACCTGGGAGAGTTAGGTACCCAGTTTTAATAAAAAACCAGTGAGAGTTCGGTGACTAACACCTATCTGTGACATTATATATATATACACACACACACACACACACATACATACTAGATTAGAGAGGGAGAGGAAAATTTTCAAAAACAAAATAATTTTCAAATAAACAAACACGTCATTTCACTATTAAAACATTATTGAAGGGCCTAGTCCAGTTATTTAAGATCTAAAATGTTAGGTTTTTCTTTTCTTTTAAGAAAAAGGGAGTGATGGAAAGTGTGTTTTTGAAGGAAAAACACCAAACTCCTCTTGCCCCTGCCCCCCCGCCAAAACTAATTATAGAGGTGATATCTGACTCTTATCAACATAAATAAAATTATTGGCGCTCTTTCCCCCGTTGAAAGATTGATTTGACAGAGGCTCTTGCATTCATCTTTGATGTTATGCCTTTTCTTTCTTTCAGAAGAGGGGGAGAAGGGTCAATTATCAAAAATTGACTTCTTCAAATTCAGGTCTGGATCTTTCTTTCAGGCATTTGTCTTTGTAGTGAAAACAACTTGGTTGATGAGACATACAGGACACCTTTGCTATGTTATTTGAGAAACAGAGCAAAACTTATTAAACTAAAACAAGACTGACCAGTGTAGGTTCATCACTGCGGTGAGTAAAAGAATCAATGGTCAAATCAGATTTTTACAATCTGTTGTACTTTAGTTCTCTAAGAGATTATTAGTAGCAGATTATTTTTAATTTACTTTTTTAAAGGTAGCAGTCCCATTTAATGATCTTTAACTCAACACAGAAAAAATATTTTAAAGCTATAAACCATAACTATTACATGCGTCTCTTGGATCATTGAAAGATTCAGTACATTTGTTAAATTCCTTGGAACCTTTAGCTGTTCAACTGCGCCTCAACATTGTGCCTCCTTTGTCTATGAACATGATTCTGATATTTACACTGGTTCCAGTTTTATTGACTGCCAATAAAGATAGGGTGAGTGGGATAGTTTCATCAATATTACAACCCTTCAGATATTTTCATTCTCTCAGTAGCTATGTCTGAGTTTCCTTCTTAGTCCTACTTGTGTCTTCTAACCTTACTCCAGTTTGGGTCTGAACTAAACATGTCATTTGGCTGTGGGACCACTAAAACTTCTGAGGTTTCACTTGTACGATCAATTGGGTGAATGTGGAAAGATGAAGAACACATTAATCCTTTTCTCTATGGGACCAACCCAACCTCTTTTTCACCTGAACTATTCAGATGTTTTTCTACAAGCAGAAACTATATATAAGAGAAACTAATTGTCATGTTTTCCTTAAACTAGGCAAATTGACTGTCCAAGACCCCCTGTTGAAACAGAGGCAAATCAGAATTTTTACACATTACAGCTGCATTTGCAAGTTTTTTTGTTCTTTTTTAAAGGGGCAGTATACTTGCTAAAGTATCAGTAGGCATGATTATGAGAGGGATTCTAAAGGAGAGAATCTAATTATATGCCTAGGCTGATGAAGTAAGTGCATTCAACTGCAATCCCCATAATTATTTCATAAAAGTTAGAGATGGAAAAGACTTATTTCATCATTGAGTCCATCTCCCAGTCAGTACAGGATTGCTCCCTAATGTATATTTACCAGGCCTTTGTCCAGTCTAATTTTAAGTTTTCCCATGCTTTGGGGCTGCCACCATTTTCCTTAGGAGACCGTTCTACTGCCTAATAGACCTCAAATACAGTTAATGTTTGTAAAGAGCTACTGTAAGTGTATGTACTAGCTTGTATTATCTCAGAAATAGATCTGTTGATGGAGCAGGGCTGGGGGGGCCTCATACATAACAAGGCTACACTATTGTGGGTTTAAACAGCTGTTATTTTCTGTTTAATATTTTTGTCAATTTGCTACAGCCTTGTCCATGATATAAAACAAGAAATTTATCAACCTGTCTTCTCTTGACCCTCGCTAACAACACCTGCACATCACCATGGTCAACAGTTTTCCCGGTTCTAAACGTTTTCAAACCTTTCAAAGAAAAAAGAAAAGTTAGAGTCCATCAGTTCAGTTCTGACCTCAAATTCAGGCTGGTTTTTATTTTGTCCAAACCAGTTCAGCCATTCCTAGTACAAATATAAAAATACCTATGACAGTTTCAAGTGCATGAAACTATGTATGGATGCTTATGTCTTATTAGTTATAGAGCAGTTACTACAAATGGTATTAGCGACACTATCAATTACTGACAATTCCTCAAGGGTAGGGGTGAAGTTGGTGCAACAATGGTCTGGCTGTATGGGTCAGCT